CGTTATTTGTCCGGATATAGTTTTTAACATTTTTCTTTCCCACTCGATATGTTTATCCAACTCCTTTGACAATACAAAATGAATCTAAACATTATATCAGACAAGTAAAAATATTAATGGTATGAGTTTAATATGATACATACACACCCCCATCACATGGATCCTTTGCCATATGATTTTGCATATTTTAGCGGTGATAACCCCTAAACAAAAAAAAAAATCAAAGAATCGTATTGGTTGACCTAAAAAAATGGTAATTTATATGATACAATTATACCTGAATCACTCTCTTCTTCGATTTGCTATATACCTACCAGTGGTTTATGCCATATATCAAATCCTATTCCCCTTTTCTGTCTCACATACTGCGGATCACCCATGGGAGACTTCCAAGCTGTAATTGCCTTTAAACTGCACAAGACTCAACTCCTCATCTCTGTTGCTGAATCTGGATGCCTCACAGGTGGACTGGTAACCCATAGTTGTGGTAAGCTCTTATCCGCCCATCCCACGTCGCAACAACCACCACAAATCCCCACATGTGAGGCGAGCTCAACGTGTTCTGGCAAGCCCTCTTCAAAATCTTCAACCGAGATTTGCACATTGCTGGTGGAACTGACACTGAGCTTCCACTATCAGGAAGACTTTCCTCGGGCCAAGTACTTGATCCCTTCATCAAAGATTCGAGCAAAAACCCTCGGGTTAAGGAGAAACAATCTGATGAAAAATGAGATATTTTCTCATCTAACTCTCCAATAAGACTCTGGGGGTGTTTTGGCCCATTATCAATGACCCCACCAAGCGTGGGAGATGGGAGTGTTCCTGGTATCATTTCAATCCCATGCCAAGGTATGGCAACCGATGAATCGTGGGACACAAAACTCTCACAGGACCAGATGTTCTTCACCCGAGAAGAAGTCTTCTCCTGGCCAGAATAGTTCCATACATAGACATTACAATCCTCACTTGCTGAGACAATGTGTTTGCCATCCGAGGAGAAGTTTGCAAAGATAGGGCTTGCCGCAATTCTAAGTCCAGACGCTGGAAAGACAACAAATCAGCAAACTACCAAATGAAACCTCAATTCCAAAGAATACAGAGTCAGTCCATTGAATGGCACTTAAGGTCCAAACATGGTCCTCGTTATGTTTATGATGGTGAGGCTTGCTTGTAAATCTAAAACTGGACTCCCTAAACACAAAAGGAAAGAAAGTAAATAAATGAGAAGTTAGAGAGAAAATCTTACCTCTAAACTTGCATATCACGTCACCTCCCGATAGTATCCGAATATTTGAATCAGCTGAAGTGACCATAACTTGGTCAGGATCACTTGGAGAGAACTAGAGGGCAGAAAGTTAATTGGTAAGAGTTTTCCCAACAAAATTGGAGGCTGAGTTATAACTTTTTGCTGAATTAAGATAAGAAGCTGATGTTTAAAAAATATGATGAAATTTAACCACCTGAAAACCAGTTATCCTTTTGCCTGGTAATTTTTTCTTCCCTTGTAAGCTTATTTGAGCGTCCAATTGCAATCTATTATCTGATACAAAACCAAATATAACCGTTCAAGCAATCTTAAAAAAGAACAATTCACGTGAAAGTCAATTACTCGATCCTCCCAAATTTATATATTGCCCGCATAAAAGCAGTAAAAATGACCATGTTTTGGATCAACACGCTTCTATATGAGAGAATTAGTATATTTCTGCATGCTGCAAACAGAACAAGTTTTGTAATTCTGTAATCCAACTCAAACCATCAATCACCATGACTGTTGATTTATTAATGAGAACATCATTATATGATTAAACGGATATAGAGAAAGACA